ATGTATGCGTCACATCCGTGTAGACCAGATATTACCATGTTTATAAGCCTCTGAAAAGTTGCTGGTGAGTTTTTCATACCAAAGGGCATGACTTTATATTGATATAAGCCGTCTGGTGTTACAAAGGCTGATATTTCTTTAGCTCTATCAGTAAGTGGAACTTGCCAGAATCCTTTTAGAAGATCGAATTTTGTTACATACTTTGCTTTTCCAATTTTGTCAATACAGTCATCAATTCTTGGTATAGGAAATGAATCAGTTTTTGTTACAGAGTTCACTTTACGATAATCTGTACACATTCTATATGTTCCATTTGATTTCGATACAAGAATACATGGAGAGCTGTAATTGCTTTGACTTGGTTCAATAAAGTCATTATCCAATAAATACTGAACTTCTTGTCTTAGGTACTTTTGTTTTACAGGATTTGTTCTATATGGATGCTGTTTTATTGGTTCAGAGTTTTCAAGAACGACGTCATGATGTATTTTATTAGTCCGTGTGGGAATATCAGGAAATAAATGTTCATATTCATAAATAAGCTGTTTCAGTTCATCTCGTTTCGACGGTTCTAAATGAGCAAGTTTTTCATCCAGATTTTTCAGAATATTAGAGTTTTCAAGCTTTGCGGAACCAGGATCAGACTTTTCAAAATTTTCACAACTATTAGATTCAATTGAACATTGATTTTGTGGAACAGAGTTTACAAAAGATATAGGTTTACTAACTTTGCTATCTCTGTCAAAATATTCTTTTAACATATTTATGTGACACATTTGCTTTTGCTTTCGCCTCCCAGGAGTATTAATAATATAATTAAGGTCACTGACTTTCTTTTCAATAGTATAAGGACCAAAGTATCTAGCCTGTAATGGTTTTCCAGGTATAGGTAAAAGAGCAAGTACTCTATCACCAGGGTTAAAACTTCTTTCCTGAGCATTCTCATCATACCTTGATTTCATTTTACTTTGTGTTGATTTTAAATTGACCCTAGCTAACTCACATGCATTAGTCAACCTATTTCGAAAATCTGATACATACTGAAGCAAATTTAAAGAAATGTCATCTTCAGACAGGAATTTCTCTTTTAGAAGTTTTAAGGGTCCTCTGACAGTGTGACCAAATACTAATTCAAAAGGGCTGAAGCCAAGAGATTCCTGAACAGATTCTCTTACAGCAAATAACAATAAATGGATGCCTTCATCCCAGTCTTTTTCAGTGTCAAAACAATATGACCTAATCATATTTTTTAGAGTCTGGTGAAATCTTTCTAATGCACCTTGACTTTCAGGGTGATAGGCTGAAGACCTATATTGAGTAATTCCTAACTCATGCTTGACCTGCTGGAAAATACCAGACATAAAATTTGACCCTTGATCAGACTGTACTGATTTAGGTAAACCAACAAAAGTGAAAAATTTCACAAGAGCCTTAACAATAGTTTTGGCTTTAATATTCCTTAAAGGAATAGCTTCAGGAAAGCGCGTAGAAGCACACATAATAGTTAATAAGTACTGAGAACCTGATTTAGTTTTTGGTAATGGACCTACACAGTCAATAATAACTCTACTAAAAGGTTCATCAAATGCAGGAATAGGCTGTAAATGAGCTTTAGGTATTGTCTGGTTAGGTTTTCCAACCATCTGACAAGTATGACAAGATTTACAGTACCTAGATACATCTGCTTTAAGGCCAGGCCAATAAAAATGATTGAGAATTTTATGGTAGGTTTTATTAACACCTAAATGACCTGCCATGGGTGTTTCATGAGCCAAGTGTAATATTTCCTGGCGATAAGATTTAGGGACCACAATTTGGTGATTAACAGTCCACTCCTCTTCAGCAGGGACATCGGGCGGTCGCCATTTTCTCATTAAAATCCCATTCTTTTCATAATAACAAACAGGGACTTGTAAAGCTTCATCTTCACTAAAGGCCTTTTGAAAAAGGACTGAAATCTCAGGATCATTTTGTTGTTCCTGGATAAGCTGTGACCTTGACAGCGTGTCACAACCTTGATCTTCAGATCTTGGTGTAGAAAAATCAGATATTGAAAAATCTGTCTGAGTTTCAGGCAGAGTATGAGTAAGAGAAAAATTCATTTCATTATCAAAAGACTGACCTATAAAAGTATCAGCTAAGTCAATATCTGAACAATAATTATCTTCTTGAATGGCCTTCTTAGCCATAGCTCGAGTAACTGCACATGAAGGGTAAAGGTCAGGAATTTCCTGCTCAATGGGGTCAGGAATCTGATCCACACAAGGAGTGTCAGTTACAAGTGGATTAACCACTACCTTATCTCCAGCTAAGTCATTACCTAGCAATAAATGAACACCTTTAAAGGGTAAGAAAGATCTTATACCTACAGCCACCGGCCCAGTTACCAAATCTGATGACAAATAAATATTATGGAGAGGGACATTAGAAAAACCACACTCTACACCCTGAATAAGGACACTAGATCCAGAAGAAGTCTTCTCAGAAAAAGGCAGTGTATCTGCTAAAATAAGAGATTGAGAAGCTCCTGTGTCTCTTAAAATTGTAATAGGAGTAGGTGGGCAAGTATCACCGATAAGTGACACAGAACCTTCCGAAAGGAATGGTTCATAAATCTCCATTATAGAATCAGACTTGGGTTCTTTGACCTTCAAAATTGCATTATTTTCAATACAAGACTGAGGTTCAGACCTTGAAGTGGTAAGACCTGTGGGTTTGGCCTCATCACGTTGTTGTTGCCTCCTTTTTAAGGTAAAGCAATCAGAAATAAGATGTCCAGTTTTCTTGCAATAATTGCATGTAGGACGAGATAAGGGACTATGACCTTTATGTTCATCAGATGACTTTGGTTTGGGAGTATTTGACTGACTAGATGAGCCAGATAAATTACCAGAACTGAACTTGGAATTAAAATGTGAGGGTGTGGACTTCCCTTTATTTATAAATGAGACTTTGTGGGTTAAAGAATAATCATCAGCTAGACGGGCAGCTTCTTCTAAAGTTTCTACCTGTTTTTCATCTAAGAAAGACTTAACATCAGAGTGAATACAACGTTTAAACTCTTCAACTAACATGAGCTGTCTAAGCTTTTCATGATTTTTATTAATTTTCTTAGATAGACACCACCGATCAAAAAGTTGTTCTTTTTCTCTTGCAAATTCGACATGGGTTTGACCAATTTCTTTCTTAGAATTTCTGAATTTTTGCCTGTAGGCCTCTGGTACTAACTCATAACCTTTCAGAATTAATTCTTTTACATTATCATAATTAGAGCTTTGTTCAACAGTAAGTTGTGTATAGATTTCACGAGCTTTACCAGTTAAGACGCTCTGTAAAAGTAATGTCCAGTGCTCTCTTGGCCATTTTAAATTTTCAGCAACCTTTTCAAAATGAAGAAAATATTTATCAACTTCTTTTTCTTGGAAAGGTGGAACAAGCCTAATATTTTTAGTGACATCAAATTTTGAATTTATTCTATGTTCAAACTGATTTGCTCTCTCTTTGATTTCTAATTCTCTCATTCTTAACTGAAATTCTCTCTCTTCTCTTTCTTTTTCAAACTGCCTTTCCCTTTCTTTTTCTTCCCTTTCTTTTTCTAACTGTAACTGCCTTTCTTCCCTTTCTTTTTCTAATTTCATTTTCTCTAGTTCAAATTTAAATTGAAGTTCAAGCTCTCTTATTTTTATTTCAGAAATTTCAGAGTGTTTTTCAATAATGTGAGAAAGTGCATCTTGTCCAAAAATATCTTCATCCACAAAATAATGAATCAGAAGATTTTTAATTTCTTGTTTACGCATTGAAGATTTAATTTCTGATAAATTATACTTTTTTGCAAGATCAAGCAAATCAGTTTTCTTAGCCAAATCTAATAACTCCTGGGAAGGTTCAGCTACAAACTTTTCTAAATTAAAAGACATGACTGCTTGCTGCTGGTTTTAAACTCAGAAAGTGATGTGTTTCAAAAATTTCAAAATGAAAGGTACACTTAATAGAACAACTATGGTATCAATTCAAATGAGTAAATACGGTAATAACAAAATGTAAAATAAACGGTAATAATTTCCAATAATGTAGCCAAAAAGAAATATTCAAATCCCGGATGAGCCCCCAATTTCTGTTACGAGCCAGGCGTAACGAGAAAGAAAAGCCAGCAACAAACTTGTAACAATAACAAATTTATTACAGAAAAATTATTAAAGAAAAATAAAATAACAAATTATGTTTACAAATACCTGAAGTCCAAATAAAAATGAAAATTACAAATGTCTAGTCTGATCCTGGAATGATCCTTTTTGAATAGCACAGTTAAATCCAAGTTAAATCCAAGAACACTTTAGAATAAATTCCCACAATAAAATCCACAAGAATAATTAATAATCCAAGCTCCAATAAATCACTTAATTTCCAAATTGAATAATACTCCAAATATATTGATGACTTAAAAGATCACTGATGACTAAAAAGGTAACTGATGACTTAAAGATCACTGATGACTTAAAAGGTAAGATTAATGAAAAATGTCTCCTTATATATATTAACTAAGAAGTTTCCAGAAAGGTCTATTATGTTCTCAAGTAATCATAATCTAGCAACTTCAACAATAAAGATCATTCCAGAAGTTTCTATCTAAATATAATGCATGAGTTTTCTACAACAGTTAAGAACCTTCTAGTACATACATGTAGTTTATGTTCTAAAAATAGAACAATGATAATATTGGAAATACCAACCGGTCAGATATAAATTATATACATGTAATATGTTGCATACATAACAACATATGAAACTACAAACACCGTATGGATTTTAGTTGAACCTGTGGAAGGACAATTTGCTTTTATTTCTACATGTAAAATTTCTCAAACTAGGCTAAATTCATATACATGTAATTATATTAAGTGAAACAGTACCAAATGTAAGCTAAATGATTACTATCTTCAGCCTAAAACACAAAACTATGTTTGTAGTTCTAGGTCAACAAATAAGTGGACACAGCATACCTTTATTTTTAGATCTAGGGGCTGGTATAGGTGGTTTATCATCCTCTTCAAATGATGGCTGTTGTTCTCCTGGATTATCTACAAAATTAAAAATAATTGAAGCTTTCAATACAAGATTAAAACTGTTTACCAGAATTCTTATTGTAACTTTTCATTCTAATAAACCATATATTCAGACTAAATCCAGGGCAAAGTTGTGCATCCATATTTACTAATCATAATTTCCAAAACAGAAGAAATTCAAACAGCAGTCACTTACAAAAAACATTCTTTGTATATTACATTATAATTCTTTTACAGTTTTGTAATATTATAATTCAATGATCTACAGCTTTGTTAATGTAAGGCATGCATCATATTTTGACATACATGCATTGTGTAATTAATGTCTATATTTTCAAGCTGGAAAATTATCTCACCAAAAGCTGTTTTCCCTCCTTGTTTCAATACATCAGCATCAAATGAGCCAGTATGTTTGACATCAGCCACTGTATCTTGATGGTTCAGTGGATTTGGTCTATTCTCTTGTGGTGGATACAAAACATTTTGCATATCTTGACTTGTTCCCCTTACTTTTTTCAAGTCTGATTCTTCTTCAACATTTTGATGCTGCTGACGTTCGACATATAGGCCAGTTTCATTATTTCCTGAATTATTTGTGCTATTGTTGTCACTTCTATTCACTTCACATTCAGCATCTCCTATTTTAGATATCTTTACTTTTCCATTGTTTATTTCTATATCATATATAGGCTCATTATCAATCAAGATGATATCTTCATCAACACTCACACCCGAAGCTCCGTCCAACTGTGGGATTTTTACTTTAAGATTGTTATGTTTGAGAACATAACTATTACCAACTTTCTTTATCCTGAAAACTTGGTTTTCTTCTTCACCTCTGGCAATTTGAGTTTCAGGTATATAAGCAGCATTGTCAACTTTACGACCAGATACACAATCAGTCCCTTGTAAAGGACATACACCTATTTCTTCAGAAACTGTGTCTAATTTAATATTTTTTTCCTTATCATCTGGAATATGTGTTATACTGGTCATAGAAGAAGTTGAAGAATTTTCCCACTCTCTAATTTGTTCATCCATGTCTTCACATGGAATGGTTTACAATGGATTCTGAAGAATCTGAGCTAGAGTATAGTTGAACTGTATCATCTTTCTGTAGTTATTCTAATGAAACAAGAGATGTTTGTAAAACACTTATGCCTCTCACGCCAGTATTCATTTTACGCAGTGTACATGGAAATGAAATTTACCTTCTGAACTTAAAACAATAGGGGTCTCTACCGGTACTATCTGAGATGCATCAACCTAGTCATCTATCGGTACTTTCTAGGATGCAACAAACTATCAAGTATGAAATGTCTAAGCAAAAATTTTTGAACTATAAATAGCACAAACCTATGGATGACATATAGAACATTAGATAGGTTTGACTACACTTCTTAATTATATAGAGGATATTGAATGAGTGTAGTTTAATACTAAATTTATTGAACGAGTTGAATAAAATCATATCTTGCGAGCCTCTGGCGAGCATGATATTGTTGTATTCAACGAGTTCAATAAATTTAGTATTTAATCTACACGAATACAATATTCTATTTATCACATATATAAAATAAGAGCAGCGAACTGTTAAAATGAGTTAATTTTTCAATGATGCGCCTATATTGTAACGCTAACATTAGCGCGCTTTAAGGCTATCTTTTTATATAGCGCAAATGACGTCACTTAAAAATGTTATTTACACCAGTGTAATATCCTTTTTAATACATGGTTTTATAACAGTCCTGCGCCGAGGTTTATGTGACAAAAATTATTATCAATAACCATATTCAACAAGCAAATTCGTTGAATTTATATCCCTCGCCGAGTACTGGTTATTACTAACACAACACCTGAAGACATAAGGCTTTATTTATATATTTATCATGGCATAAACAGTAATTTTCTTTGAACTTGATAAATATTCAGGGCAATAACAGAGCCATAACTCTGTGTTAAATAGTTATATTTGGAAATGCCAATGAGATGTATGCATACTGCATAACTAATCAAGGGCCATAAATCTGAGTTATAAGTGTCTGACCGGAACAAGGCGACTTTATGCACATCTCCTCTTCGTATCCCGTAAAGTTTCATTGAATTCCAGCCAGTAGTTACAGAGAAGTAGCACGGGAAAGATTATTGCTCTGGTTTTATACTGCATAAGTTATCAAGGGCCATAACTCAAAGTTAAAATGTCTGACCCGAAAATAAGGCGACGATATGCGCATCTCCTCTTGGTATTGAAGGTTCCAATAAAGTTTCATTGAATTCCAGCCGGCAGTTGCAGAGAAGTAGCGCAGAAACAAATATTTTTCTATATGTATACTGCATAACTAATCAAGGGCCATAACTCTGAGTTAAAATGTCTGACCCCAACAAGGCAATGATATGCGCATCTTCTCTTGGTATTGAAGGTTCCCATAAAGTTTTGTTGAATTCCAACCAGTAAATGCAGAGAAGTAGCGCGGAAACGATTTTTGCTCTATATGTATACTGCATAACTTATCAAGAGCCATAAATCTGAGTTAAAGTGTCTGACCCAAACAAGGTAATGATATGCCCATCTCCTCTTGGTATTGAAGGTTCCAATAAAGTTTCGTTGAATTCCAGCCAGTAGTTGCAGAGAAGTAGGGCGGAAATGATTTTTGCTTTATATGCATACTGCATAATTAATCAAGGGCCATAACTCTGAGTTAAAGAGTCTGACCCTCACAAGGCGACAATATGTGCATCTCCTATTGATATTGAAGGTTCCCATAAAGTTTCGTTGAATTCCAGCCAGTAGTTGCAGAGAAGTAGCGCAGAAACAATTTTTACTCTATATGCATACTGCTTGACTAATCAAGGGCCATAACTCTGAGTTAAAGTGTCTGACCGGAACAAGGTGATGATATGCGCATCTCCCCTTGGTATTGAAAGTTCCCATAAAGTTTGGTTGAATTCCAGCCAGTAGTAGCAGACAAGTAGCGCGGAAACGATTTTTACTCTATATGCATACTGCATAATTAATCAAGGGCCATAACTCTGAGGTAAAGTGTCTGACCGGAACAAGCCGACGATATGCGCATCCCCTATTGATATTAAAGTTTCCCAAAAGTTTCGTTGAATTCCACCCAGTAGTTGCAGAGAAGTAGTGCGGAAACGATTTTTACTCTATATGCATACTGCATAACTAATCAAGGGCCATAACTCTGAGTTAAACTGTTGGACCGGAACAAGCCGACGATATGCGCATCCCCTCTTGATATTGAAGGTTCCCATAAAGTTTCGTTGAATTCCAGCCAGTATTGCAGAGAAGTAGCGCGGAAACGATTTTTACTCTATATGCATACTGCATAACTAATCAAGGGCCATAACTCTGACCTAAAGTGTCGGACCGGAACAAGCCGACGATATGCGCATCTCCTCTTGATATTGATGATTCCCATAAAGTTTCGTTGAATTCCAGCCAGTAGTTGCAGAGAACTACTCCGGAAATGAAATTCGGACGGACGGATTGACGGACGGACTGACAACGCCAAAACTATATCCCCCTCCAGATTCCATCGGCGGGGGATAACAATCTTATTTTTTATTGCATTCTTTATTTCATTTAATCATATGACCTCTGTAGTTACAGAGTGAGATTGTATTGGTCCGAGTAATATGTTGGATGTGTAAAGCAGGCATGGCATGTGTTAAGTAAGTATAATGATAGAAACATGAGCACTGGATATGAGTTTTAACAGAATTTATATTGATTAATTTATATCTTCCCATAGGTTTTGATAGCTTAGCATTATCAAATATGTAATTAATTTGGCCAGAGATAGTGAACAGAGAGCAATTAATTGTAAAATTTTCTAAGTCCAAGGGACATAACTCTGTCAAAAATATTGCTCATAAAACGTGACCTACATATTCTTATGATAAATCTGTATACCAAATTTCATTTCAGTAAGTGCATTATTTCTGCAAAGAAAATGAATGAAAACTTCAAATAATTTGAATTTTTCTAAGTCCAAGGGGCTTAACTCTTGTCAACAAGGGACATAAGTGATGACATGTGTCGTCTCATGATAGCCATACATGGGCAAAAAATCATTCAACCTAAAACCCTGTGAGATATGTACAAGAATTTGAGCTATCGAACAATCCTGTAAAGTTTCATTGAAATTGCATTATTGGTATAACAGGAGTAGTTTGGACAAATTTCAAAATTAAAATAATGAAAGAGCCAAAACTCTGACAACTAGAAATGTGTCCATAGGACACTGATGCCCCCACACACCACTGTTCTGTCAATTTTATGACTCTAGGTCAAATATTTTTTGGACTACATGTGCCACAAGTTGAAAACTAAAAATCAACAAAGGGCCATAATTCTGTTAAATTTGGTCGCAGCAAAAAATCCTTCCTTTACTACGATCTACATATTAAGGTTGTTAATCCCTGGAAGTTTAAGCAAAATCTGCCATCCGGTTTAAGAGGAGTTGCATTCACAAAATTTCTATATAGTATATAATGAAAAAATCAACAAAGTGCCCTAATTCTGTTAAATTTGGTTGCAGCAAAAATTCCTTCCTTTACTACCATCTACACATTAAGGTTGTTCATCCCTGTAAGTTTAAGCAAATCTGCCATCCAAATTAAGAGGAGTTGCATTCACAAAATTTCTACATAGTATATAGTGAAAAAATCAACAAAGGGCCATAATTCTGTTAAATTTGGTCACGGCGAAAATTCCTTCCTTTACTTCCATCTACACCTTGAGGTTGTTCATCCCTGTAAGTTTAAGCAAAATCTGCCATCCGGTTTAAGAGGAGTTGCATTCACAAAATTTCTACATAGTATAGAGTGAAAAAATCAACAAAGGGCCATAATTCTGTTAAATTTGGTCGCAGCAAAAATTCCTTCCTTTACTACCATCTACACATTAAGGTTGTTCATCCCTGTAAGTTTAAGCAAAATCTGCCATCCGGTTTAAGAGGAGTTGCATTCACAAAATTTCTACATAGTATATAGTGAAAAAATCAACAAAGGGCCATAATTCTGTAAAATTTGGTCGCAGCAAAAATTCCTTCCTTTACTACCACCTACACCTTAAGGTTGTTCATCCCTGTAAGTTTAAGCAAAATCTGCCATCCGGTTTAAGAGGAGTTGCGTTCACAAAATTTCTACATAGTATATAGTGAAAAAATCAACAAAGGGCCATAATTCTGTTAAATTTGGTCGCAGCGAAAATTCCTTCCTTTACTACCATCTACACCTTAAGCTTGTTCATCCCTGTAAGTTTAAGCAAAATCTGCCATCCGGTTTAAGAGGAGTTGCGTTCACAAAATTTCTACATAGTATCTAGTGAAAAAATCAACAAAGGGCCATAATTCTGTTAAATTTGGTCGCAGCGAAAATTCCTTCCTTTACTACCATCTACACATTAAGGTTGTTCATCCCTGTAAGTTTAAGCAAAATCTGCCATCCGGTTTAAGAGGAGTTGCGTTCACAAGATTTCGGGACGTACGGACGGACTGACGGACAAGTGCAACGCTATATGCTCCCACATTGTGGGGGCATAAAAATCAATGAACTGAAAAATGTTGATGAGATGCACAACTAGACATGGTATTGATAATTCTCCTAAAGTTTTGATGAAATTGCACCATTTGTTTCTAAGAAGTAGTCCAGACAAACCTCTGGGTAGCTGCAACACAAAACAAAATGGCCAAGATGGCCTTAGATTGCTCACCTGATCCATCACATTTACATTATTTAGATAAGCATCCTGACCAAGTGTGATGACAATTGAGTTCAAAATGTGACCACTAGTGTGTTTACAAGGTTTTTCCACATTTGGGCAGTGTGACCTAGTTTCTATGAAGTTTAATTAAAATTTCTCCATGCCTAAGATATATGCTCCACACAAAAATTTGACGATGCCCACCAAGCCACCTGCCCGCCCGCTGGGGGGGGGGAGGGGGGGAACTATAATACGACCCCTTTTTCAAACAGGTGTATAAAAAAAGGAAAAAAGAGCCCTGCTAGGCGAGCATTATATGCCCGAAAGTGTTAAATTGTTTGTTATTTAGTACAGATGAAGCATTTGAAGCATTTGTAACATAGCATTTCCTAGTCAAAATGCTTTTAGAAAATTAATTATAAAAAACATTAATAATTTCAATAATTTCAATATTCATTAATAACTTACATTTTTAATAAACATTAAAAGAATTTCATTGTTATATAAATATTTTGATAAAAATTACTTTTAGATTCTTAACTGATAAATTTTACAACTCTAGTATAAACATGTCATAGTGGTCAATAAGAAAATATTATCACCTTTTGATTTTAATACTTTATGGCTTAATTCTCAATTTCCTAGTCTTTTATCAAACATTTTTTAGCCATACTTGATTAACTCTTGACATTTATTGCTAATATTGCTTAAGGCTTAATTCCTATGACAACTCTTTCTTAATTTATATTGTTGCTTTTATATTTTAAATTAGTCTTATTTTAATTTGGGAACATTCAACATCTTAAAGTCTTATATAGAATTTTCGGACGTATAACATCAAGTCTTAACTAATTTTACTTAAGTAAATAAATAAGTAAATTTAACTTAAGCAAAATTCAGGTGCTAGCTGTGAAAATATATGTGTGGACTATATGATTATTTTGCATTTGAGAACTTTCAATGGGCTATAAAGAAATAAATGAAATAACATCATACTGGACTTTTGAGTTATAAAATAAGTCATCATAACAAAGAGGATACTGGATAATAATAATACCAGTATCCCACACATACCAACCAACCGAGGGTTTCCGTGTAGGGCGCTCACTTCGCCAGCGAGTATTCCCCAAACGACCCCAAAGCGAAGGCCCTGCCGGTGACCCTTGGCTACACATTTGTAAGACATTACATAAATTAAGTAAAGTATTACCTCATTCAAATGGCAATCCTCCTATAAAGTTTAAATATTGTGGACCAAATGGAACTTAAGTTATGCTCTGGTAACTGTTTTCAGTTTTGAGTTAATAGCTACCTTGAACTTTGACCTTGTTACCCCAAAATCAATAGGGGTGTTCTACCTAATACGGACAATCAGCCCATGAAGTTTGAACACTATGGGCCAAATAGAAATTAAGTTATGTTCTGGAAACTGTTTTCAGTTTTAAAGTAATAGTGACCTTTACCTATGACCTTGTGACCCCAAAATCAATAGGGGTTATCTACCCAATAAGGACAATCATCCTATGAATTTTGAATATTGTGGGCTACATGGAACATAAGTTATACTCTGGAAACTGTTTTCAGTTTTAAAGTTATAGTGACCTTGACCTTTGACCTTGTGACCCCAAAATCTAGAGGAGTCTTCTACCCAATATGGACAATCATCCCATGAAGTTTAAATATTGTGGGCAAAATAGAGCTTAAGTTATGTTCTGGAAACTGTTTTCAGATTTAAGGTAATAGTGACCTTGACCTTTGACCTTGTGAACCCAAAATCAATAGGGGTCTTCTATCCAATATGTACAAATACCAAAATCAATAGGGGTCTTCTATCCAATATGTACAATCATCCTATGAAGTTTGAATATTGTGGGCCACATGGAACTTAAGAATGATATGCTCTGGAAACGGATATTAGTTATGAGGTAATAATAACCTTGACCTTTGACCTTGTGGCCCTAAAATCAATAGGGGTCTTCTACCCAATATGGACAATCATCCTCTGTCAATCTTATGACACTAGGTCAAACAATTTTTGAAAACTAAAAACTTTTACTCAGTAAAGGACAAGAACTTTACAAATACTGAATAAATCCACAAGCAAACCCCAAGGTGCATAATTAACATGCTGATTAACATTCTTGTAAACTTTCAGGCCTACAAGCGTGACTCACAAGAATGCTACAGACCAAATTTAAGGTAAATCTGCCCAGCAGTTTCAGAGAAGATGATTGTTGACGCATGACAACGGACGACAGACACCAGAGCATCCCGGCCTTTGATACTAATAGCTCACCCTGAACCTTTGCTTCTTGTGAGCTAAAAAAAGAGATTTTTCTTTTTGAATAGTGTGCTACTGGAGAATAATAAATTGGCTGTGTAAGAGAAGAAAATAATCTTCATAGATGATTAATATGTTATAATATAAATGTAAATACATTTAGTATAGAAATTACCTTTGATATCTGTGTCTTTTTTGTCATTTTTAGGCTCTGCTTCTGAAATATCCTATAAAAATATAAATATATTTGTAAGACTTTCTTTGTGCATACTCAAAGGCACTGGCTTGTTTTATGTTCTTTTTTAAAAAAGATGCTGCATGTTTTATGATCATGTGCAGGAAAGTTCTGAAACATATCAAACCAAGAAAACAAGATTGCCCATAAAAGCTAATCTTAGAAACCTCTAAAAAACCTGAAAAAAACCCTCTTCTTTTTTATTTAAGCTCTGTAAGTCATATTGTTCTATAAATCCAATTAATTTTATCTAGCTGTTTATGCTATCATTCGAGCATAATTCCTATTCATAATAAGAATATTTAAAATAAAGCGGATTTCATTCCTTAATAAAGACAAATTCAGAGAGTGATTGGTTAAATTTCTTTTCAAAAAATTTGCAGAAAAGACTGGTTTGATATGATTGAATCCAACAATAAACATTGCTTTATTTATAGCATTATGAGTACTGTTCACAACTAGTCCTTTAAACCTTTAATCAAAGCATTAAAAACACTGGAGGGTCGATTGTGTTGAAAAACTTATATGACATTATACTGCTGGTGATCTTGAAAGGCTATATTTCCTGCCAGATTTTAGCATTTGCAATTTTTTGAAACACAGTTCATGTCATGTCAAAAAGACTGAGTAGACTGAGTACAAGGAAAGAGGAAAATGTTGTGTGATATGATTTTATTCAGGGAGATTTATCAAGAACATTCAACAATTACAACGGTTTATCAAAAGTATTAACAAAGGCAACATTGTCACAAAATATGCCTGTCACAGAAGTTTTTGACAGAGATGTGGGCATTATAGATATGCATATAAGAGATATGCTATAAGCAATATCCAGAAAATATCTAGATATATTATCATCTCTAGGGATATTTTATACATGAACTGTGACCCCTATGTGTGACCTTAACCTTGGCTGCAGAGACTTAAATTTGCACGCGACACTCCGCCTCAAAATAGTGAACATAAGTGCCAAGAAATTGAAGTTATATTGAAATCCCTCTGTGTATGTTACTAAGTAGTTTTGCTCCGGACAAGCATTTTTCAATGACCTCTAGGTGTGACCTTGACCTTTGACCTAGATACTAGGTTCATGAATGTGACATGGCTTCTCATAGTGGTGAACATTTGTATGAAGTTTCATTAGAATCCCTCCATATGTAAAGGAGATATGCTATGAACAAAATCTCTATATTTTATCATCTTAAGTGACCTTGACTATAATCTTTAATTACCTTGACCTTGCATATATTAACTTAAATTACATGTTTCACACCAGCTGACATGATAATGATCATTTGTGTTTCAATTTTTTTCAATAAATGATGACTAAACGGTCCCAATACACATTTTCATATTCATATCTGAACTTTGACCCCATGTGTGACCTTGACCTTAGCAGCAGGGACCTAAATTTTGCACTCGACAACCCCCCTCACAAAAGTGAACATTTAATGTGCAAAGTTATATTGAAATCCTTCAATTCATGTAGAAGTTTTGCTCCAGACAAGTGTTTTTTCTATGACCTCTAAGGGTGACCTTGACCTAGAGGACTGGTTCATGCGCACAACACGGCCTCTCATAGTGGTGAACATTTGTATGAAGTTGCATTAGAATCCCTCCATATGTGTAGAAGATATGCTCTGGACAAAATCTCTATATTTTATCATCTTTAATGACCTTAACCTTGCATATATTAACCTAAATTACATGTTTCACAACAGTAGTCATGATAATGACCATTTGCGTTTCAACCCCTGATATGTATTAAATTTTGTGAAAGAAAATTTAATGTGATACATTACTGACAATTTTATCCCAAAAAAATGTGATCATGTTAAACTCATAAAAATTCCGCCCTTATGAATTCTGTCCCAGAATTCTGCCCAGAATTTTGTTTGACAATTCCGTTCCAAAATTCCGTTCCGAAATTCCGCTTCAAAATTTCGCCCAGTGATTCCGCTTCAAAATTCCATTCCGAAATTCCGCTTCAAAATTCCGCCCAGTGATTCCACTTCAAAATTCCGCCCCAAGATTCCGCTTCAGAATTCCGCCTCAACTCATTTGCATATTTCGTCCCAATTCCGCCCAGAATCCGTCCCGTTTCCGCCTGGAATCCGGCCAGAATCAGTGCCAAAAGCAAATGGTTTAACACTTGTATATTTGGGGGAGAATTCAAATTTCTGGGCGGAATCTGCCATTGAATTCCGCCTCATTTCCGTGCAGAAAATTTCGTACAGGAATATATTGAAAGATTTACCATAGTTTACTGACTTTTTCCAGTTAAGTTTTGACTTAATTATAATCGTCGGTCAATATGACAATTGAATTCTTAAAACAGTAGTAAATGTAAAAACTCAGTATTAAAATAGCGCATAAAACAAAAAAAAGAAAACAATATTCATAAAATCTGTATTTTTTATTAAAATAAATATTACAATTATTGTATAATAAACAATTATGCTCAACATGATCAACATGGTAATATAACAAATGTTATATTGTTACTAAGTGTGAACAGATACCTTAAGAGTGGGTCTTCGCTCATAGCGATAAAATAATAAGGGACAATTACACATGCATTACACATATGGATTATAAATGATTGTATACATGTATGTCCGTTGCTATTAATTAATAATAACCACAATCATAAAGAAATAACAAGTTATATTCTAATTTCTAGCATGCCAATCAAAGTTATAAGTAATGAACAATGTCTTTCGTCCGTTCATTCATAAGTGATATACAATTCTGGTAAAAACCAATGAACCATTGAAAAGTTTATAAGAATATCTTGTCATCATATATCTACTAGTTCATCTGCACTTGCTGCATTTCTTGCTTGGACGCCCGTTGATGCTTTGCATCAATGCTTTTCTTGTAGGTATGCTGGAAAGTGAAGTAAAACATCAAGAAGCCATGGACAAATATTATATACATGTTCTTTCTACACTATAGCTCGTTCTCAATTTCTTGTCGGTAAATCTTCATTACGCATGATCCCTGATTTTCTCTTGTCGGTAATCGAATTGTTAAATATATTTTAAAACTAAAAGGAATAAACACAAATATTTTTTTCTTATATGTATAAAATATGAAAGTTTAAAGTGTTATAAGTTATTTAATTACAAGAATATTATATACTTTTTCAACATCTACACTACAGCTCGTTCTCAATTTCTTGTCGGTAAATCTTCATTATATATAATACATGATCCCTGGTTTTTTCTTGTCAGTAATCGATGTGTTAAATATATTTTAAAAACTAAAAGGAATAAACACAAATATTTTTTTATACGCATTAAAGTATGAAAGTTTAAAGTGTTAAAAGTTATTTATTTACAAAAAAGATTATATACATGTACTTTCTACACAGTAGCAAGACACCTCACCCCCCAGACACTTCACCCCTCAAATTTTGAAGACACTTCACCCTTTAATTAAGACACTTCACCCCCCAAAATCAGTAAGACACTTCACCCCTCATCCAATTTTTTTCTATAAAGTAAATAAAACAAGTTGGCCAACAACAAAATGCTTAAATATGTTTATATTTTTTTTTTTTAGTATTATTTGATTAAAAATTTTGCTTATTACCTTTATTTTTACTAAGTTTAAAGCTGATTTAGGTTAATTGGTTGAATTGCCAAATGTATATCACAGCACTTTCATCTATTAAGTGTTTATTGCATGTCGCCTTGTTTATTAAACATGTTGATTAGTTGTTTATTCAACGGTTATCTCACAATTGATTAGATAATTGAATTAAATGGTATAATTGTATGAAAATTAAATTTATTCTTAATGAATAAATAAAATAAATAAATAAATAAATAACATGAATATAAATGAATATGAATGAATGAATCGGTTGCTTTATAAAATATAGTAAATATAAATTATTTATCATCATTATCAGACACAATTATCCTGCATTTAGTACAAAGATCATTCATAATGTCATTTATTAAACGAATAAATAGCACCAGTTATGTAAATTAAGCACAAATTAAAGCACAAACCATCACCAAATTAGCGTAACTCAATGATTACTATATGGTAATGATCAAACTGAAAACAAACTTAAGTACCAAAACTTCAAGAATTAAATCAACTCAAAATTTATTAGACAATGGGTTAAAACAATAAACATATTCAATCACTATTGAATGTATTTAACATTATCTACATAAATAATTGTAAAACACAAAATAAAAAAATGAGGGGTGAAGTGTCTCAATCAAATTTCTTAAAATGACATAAGTTCAAAATAAAAGAAGGCTTAAGAATAAATAACTTAGCTAAATCTCAACCCCGGAAATTTTGGCAAAACATAAAAAATACTTATAAAGATGATAAAGAAAAGACTGATACATTAAATGTTGAACAACTATATGACCATTTTAAGGCACTTATTCGGCGAGGAAAGCCAAAATGAAAATCAAAACTTTTTATTCAATGATAACTTAATTGATGAAGATCTAGATGCAGAAATTAATGAGTGCGAGTTACGGGAAGCTATATTTTCTCAAAATAATAATAAATCACCAGGCTATGATAAATTAATATGTGAAATTTTTAAAGCAGCCTACGATATCATGTCTCCATTGTTGCTTAAACTCTACAATAGATTGTTTATTAATAGTGAATATCCTAAAGTTTGGGGGGGAGGGTATCATTACGCCTGTTTTTTCAAAAAAGGAGATGTTAATGATGCTAAAAAATTACAGAGGATTACACTTATTAATATTCTTGCGAAAATTTATTCCCAGATATTGTTAAATAAAACTTAGTAAGTGGTCAATAAAACATGATAAAATTTGTAGTGAACAATTTGGTTTCCAAAAAGGAAAATCAGTGTCTGATTGTATTTTTATTTTTCATGCAGTTATATCAAAATGTTCTAAATTCGGGTAATAAGTTATATTGTATTTTTGTTGAATTACGAAAAATGTTTTGATAAAATAGATAGATCGTTTTTTGTGGCAAAAGCTTATTGCAGAAAATTATTAGCACGCGATTTGTTAAAGCAATGAAATCAATGTACACTACTGTAAATCATGTGTAAAGGTATAATTCTACATTATTCAGATTTTTTCAATTCTCATATAAGGCTTGAAACAGGGAGATCCGAGCTCACCTCTGATCTTCATGTTCTTCGTAAATGACCTTATAGACAATATTAACACTGATTTTAGAAGGTATTTTACAAATTAACGAACTTAAGCTTTTTCTCATTTTATTTGCAGACGACCAAGTACTTTTTGCTAAAAATCCCCTGAATCTCTACAGGCAATGCTAACGGATATTGAAACTTATTGTAATACATGGGGTTTGAAAATAAAAAACATCTAAACAAAGCAATGATTTTTAAAAAGGCAGGCATACACAGCACATTTTTTATATTTACAACACACCCAATCGAACTTGTAGAACATTTAAATACCTTGGAATTACCCTCTTTAAAAATGGCAATTGGTTTAGAACTCAAAATAGAATAGCTCAACATGCTCATTTGCTTTACATAACCTGTTTAAAGTATTTAAAAATATAGAACTGCCAACATATCAGAAATGTAAATTGTTTGATTCTCTAGTCGTTCCATTTTAAATTATAATTCGGAGATATGGGGAATGCACGATGCTAAAGATATAGAAATTATTCATACTAAATTTTTGCGTAGAGTCTTAGGGGTTAAAAAATCTACTAACTTGTCAGCACTTTATGGTGAGCTTGCGTCTTACCCGTTACATATTACTAGAAAACTTAACATGATAAGATTATTGGTCAAAAATACTTAAACTTAATGATGCATCACTTGTTAAGCAGACGTATTTACTTCTTAAGTCAGACACAGATGTTTGGTCGAAATTTAAAACGGAAAAAATTGGGGCTTCTTTTTATCAAAGACACCTTGTCAAGTCTTGGCTTTTCATATATTTGGGGCAATCAGTTTTGATAATAGATATACCATACAATACTATTAAACAAAGATTAATTGACACCTTTCTACAAAGTTGGTATGCCCATCTATCAATAATTCAACCAAGAATTACAAACATATTGTATATTTAAACATTCTTTTGAAATGGAAAAGTATTTAGATTATGTCCAAGAAAGTAAATATAGAACTGCTTTAACTAGATTTCTGAACTTCTTCCCCCATAATTTATTTATAGAAACTGGTAGATACGAAAACATTCCTAGAGAAACAGCGATTATGTAAATCATGCAATATGAAGCAAATAGAGAGTGAATACCACTTTCTCCTTGTGTGTCCCAAATACCGAGATCTTAGAACAAAAATATTTTAAAAAAATACTACTGCCATTGGCCTAACTATGAATAAATTAGATAGTATCTTGTCCGTCAGACTCAAAAGAAAACTATATGTTGCCCTTAGCTAAATTTTTGTATTGGGGCAAATCATAAACGGTATACCTTAATCTGATACTTTTTCTGAAAAAAACTATATTGTTGATAAGTACAAGTATTATTTGTTCCCATATTAAACTTGTATTCTTCAGAAAACTTGTGTATAAATTGTTAACTGCTATTTTTCTCACTGTACATGTGTAAGTCATTGGTAAATTGGCTATAAGCAATGTATTTTGTTTTATGCTTAATAAAATTCGTATTCGTATTCGTATAAATGAGGGGTGAACTGTCTGAGGGGTGAAGTGTCTGCAAAAAAGGGCCTAGGGTGAAGTGTCTGTAAGCCTTTCTACACTACAGCTCGTTCTCAATTTCTTGTCGGTAAATCTTCATTACGCATGATCCCTGGTTTTTTCTTGTCGGTTGCATATACATTCATGCAATGTCATGAAAAACTGATTTATGACTACAAATAAGGTTGAGACATGTTCAGAAGATATTCTAAACACAACTTTTGCAATTGATTATATAACTTATATTTTATTGAAAATAACAAACTTTCTTGTCGGTGTCAACTTATCAGTAACAGTACGCTAAATTGCACTCGAATTTTTCTTGTCGGTACGCATATATTTAATTTTCTTTAAAAATACAAGTAAAAACATATCAAAAACTTATCGCACATGAAAAATATATATGCCCTGCATGCTTAACAAACATAAATACACATTTGTACGTGTTTATTTGTAATTTATAGGCTCTTGTCGGTTCTTGACGGTTCTTGTCGGTAATTAGGGAGACCCTCAGCAATCGTGTAAACTTTCACAAAAAATTGTAAACGTGGGAGCCTTACTGACTATTACATGATAGTTATTTCTAATGTATGATAACCAACCGTGACTATGTTAATGATGTTTTCATGAAATCCTTGTAAAGTTGTAAATGAATATACAGTTACTGATTTGGTGGAATTTTCATGAAATATTTTACTTTCTCTTTCAACTGTTCAAATAATCATTTATCGGAAAATATGCACAAGATAAAGAGTAATCAAGCTTGTTTAACGAAAAAATTCAAACAAATAAATAGGATGCTCTTACTGCAATTGTCAGTGATACTTATACCAGCTTGCCGTTTGGGTTTATCTACAAATAATTCTTCTTAAAACCGAAAGTAGAATGGCTCTCTCGTCTTTTTCACAAATGATACGCATGCGCATTCCTGATGAAAGACGCAATAAATCTGCTGGTTCCCTGCTGTCTTATTGCACAGGGGCCCAATCTATACAGGTGTATAGCTGCTAAATCTCACCTGCCTGACTCGGAACAGTCAACGTCAACAATATGAAATTGCATAAAGTGCAAGTAAAACGGAGGGAATCCAACGCTTAAACAATAATGCGTCAAAAAAAGGAACATCCTGAAGATTAACCCATGCCCACCATTAACCAACATATTGTATCTATAGATAGGTTATTTCCTCGGACCGTAGTAAAATCATGAATCTGAAGTCATTCCTGTACTATCATTATCATATAATATGCTTCTACTTCTACTTCTATGATGAACTCGTCTGTAAATCCGCTGTGCAGACATCAGCGACGAATGCTGATGTGAATTGTGCTCCATAAAACGCGGGCTAAAAACCTGTCCCCCATGTGTGGCACCAGGCGTTCGAGTTAAAACAAGTAAAATGGTTTCCTGCGGTGAACATTTTAATGATATAAAGATATTTCATTTAACTATTTTCAACATTATTTGGGGGAGGGGGGGGGGGGGCGTAAATAAACGTTTGTAACAGAAATATAGTTTACAATAATTGAACAATATAAAAGTATTTACGTTAATTTTGTAGATTTTCAGTATATTAAACAATTTATTGTTTGTAAAATTTGAGAAAGATATTAAAGAAACATTGATAATTTTCAAACACATCATTCAAGTTTTTTCCACCTTAAACGGTAAAATATTTATAGAAAATTAGAAATATCACGTAATAGATTTTTGTTCTCAATTAGGTGTAATTCGGACTAATTCCCTACAGGTAAATCCGTAACGTACCGGCAAACGGTATTTAGCTGGGTTTTCGAAATGGTCAATTAAACAGTCATATACGGTTTACTATGGAATGCCGGTAGGGACATGCCAATTTGCTTATTTGCCAATTGCTGAATTGCTTATTTGCTGATTGCCGATTTGCTTATTTGCCAATGGCTGATAGGCTTAACGACAAATTTGCTTATATGCCAATTGCTGAATTGCTAATTTGCTTATGCCGGCTCGCCACGGCGAGCCGGTATTACGGTAGGATTTTACTGAGAAACAACCTAAAACTCCGAAGCTATCCAAAAATTTAATCGAAGCTTGGCTTCCAGCTTTCTACAAAATTTATCTATCAGGGCTAGGATCCAAAATTATTTAGCCAATCAAATTTAATCTTACATAGCGTCAAAAAACCTTCAATTTTCACGCCATTTTTAAAAATCAGCAAGTATTGTTTTGAGCGCAAAGATATAATGATGATTAAAATGTTTGTCTTTATGAATTCTTTTCAATAAATCATATTTACACTGACTTCTGATTTAGCGATTTCACCTGTTTTCTCTGTAGTAAGTTTTCGTTTGGTTAATTAACATAAGTATACATCTGGTTCTGTGCATTTTTATATTTTTTCCTTTTTTTCCGGTCATTTTATCCTTTCCGCGGTATTTAGTGTATATATTTACTGGCCGGGATCCGGGACGCCCGGGATCCGGGATCGTATAAGATATGGAGGAAAAACCTAATGAACTATATTTGTGTTGATTGTTGTCGTAATGGAAGACCATTAAACGTTAATTTTTTTATTGTATATAATGAACGTTAAATTAATTTAACTTGAATATAGACATATTTAGAGCTATTTATTAACAAACTTAAAATGCGGAAATCACAATACTTATAATTATATGCCTAATCAATTGGAAAAAAATCAAAGACTATTTTCTTGAATTGGTCAAATCCCGGGATCCCTATATGTTTTAAAACGATCCCAGCTTTTCTGAAAACTATATACTTGAACTGGCCAATCCGTGCGATCTATTTACATTTTTAATACGATCCCGGCTTATCTGAAAAAAATCTTCTTAGACTGGTCAATTTCCGGGATCCCTATATTTTTTATTAGGATCCCGGCTTTTCTGGCTGAATTGATTGACAACTTGTGTTTTCTTTAGGACTTGTGCCTCTCATTTCAATACTAAATAACATACATGTATTACAACTTAATTTTGTATAAAGAGACATCTTTATGAAATCTACCTATCTAACATTTTGTGGCCATGGTCAACAGGCCATATAGTAAATGTGCATAGACATAGGTTCTTCATTCAATCCGTTTATATGCACCTTCATATATACTCATACTCATCTTGGTTAAACTGCGAGAACTTTATATGTCACTTTCAGTCAATGAGTTTAAGATTTTGAATTTACTGGCCCGAATTCCAGTTTTGAATTTATTCTACTAAATAATTAACAAAATTTTCTTAAATTTACACTGGCCTGAACTTATATACACTGGCCATCGGGCACCGGGCCAGTTTTGACTTCACTTTTATTTTGATGTTCGCTGAAGTCTCTTCAGCTAACAGAACTGTCATTTTTACACTTAAACACACCCCTTGAAAAAAATTACGAAGCGAGTCGCTACTAGCTTTTTTAAAAGCTAACCTTGTTTGTTAACCGCTGGTTTACGTATTTGCTTATTTGCCAATTGCTAATTTGCTTTTTTGCAATAGAAATACTTTACACTGTGCCGGAAATATATGGAAAATCTGACTACAGACAGCCAGTTGAGTCAGATCTGTTAACTTTTACCAACAGTATTCTTGTAAATTCAGTGTTTTTCCAAGAATACTGTTGGTCAATGAATTTAGTTGCAGTGATGCCTACGCAGATATATGTCTACAACTGATGGCTGACATGTCCTTGAGAACACAGACGCTTGGGGGTCGGATCCTGTACCCCAACGTGATACGTGCCCCTGTAAACACTCTATCTAAAATATTTTAATATTTTAACACGAATTGGACATCGTTAAAACTGGTTTTCAAGCAATTTTTACATATACCGGTATGAAAAAATACCATATACCACCAAGTCTTAATAAAGTACTTACTGGTTTTATCGTTGTAACAAATGTCCAATTCGTATTTAAATAAATATTATAATAGATTTGATATAGTGTTTACAGACGCGTATCACGTTAGGGGCAGGGTCTGACCCGCCAGCATCTGTGCTTGAGGATGCCTTATAATGTGTTGCAGCTATAGATCTGTTTGTGCAGCTTAAGTCAGAGATTGATGGCATAATAAACACTTGATTAGTCATATATAAGTGAAATTTATTGGGGAAAGATTGAAAATAAAAATAACTTGAAAACAAAACTATTTCTTATTTTATGGCATATAAAATGTCGTTATTCTCAGCAGATTTGTCACAGAGGGCCTCATTGTAGTGGTACAAACACATAGTATCACGAATGATACATTTGGTGCATGCTTAACACGGGTGATTGTCTTTGCACTTAAGCAATAGGCTGCGTTTTTAGCTCTTTGAGATTTTGAGATCACTTATGTCTGTGTGTGCATCAACATTTTGCTTTGGTTCAATGTTTTTGAAATTTGGTCACACTTTTCCATTTCTTCATGTTGTACATTTTACATGCTATCAGGTGACCATGACCATGACCTAGGGTATAATGGACAAAGCCTCTTTGAATATTGTGTATGCATGCTGCCTATTTAATGCTTATTTGAAGTTACAGTTAGATATAAGCAATAGTAACAGAGATATGACAGAAAAACAAAGGCTTCTCAGTACAATACATTGGTGACCTTGACATTAAGTATATAACGGGCACAGCTTCTTCATGTACCTTGTATGCATGCTTGTAACGCAAAGTTTATGCAAAGTTGCAGTAAGATGCATGAATCGGCAAAAGTAACAGAGATATGACAGAAAAACAAGTTACCAAGAAAACCAATGCATTGGTGGGTAGAATAGCATCCCTATTCTCTGAATAGTGGAGCTAAAACTGAAACTCAAGATAATTAAAAAAAAACAACTGCTTTCTGAAACTGAATTTATTTTTTTCGAAATTGATTAAAATGTACCCATCTGTCTTTCTACCTATATTCTAGGTAATGATGGATTGATAATAATTGTCACAAATTATAATTAACAAAACTTTATAAACATAATAACATGATATAGGTTCATGAGCTTGAAATAAAGTCTACAAAGACTTGTTATTTTATATCAAACAAGAACTTCGCGATTCGGACGTGTCGCCTGACAATAGCATAAAAATTTATGTATATAAGCAAATAAGCAATTAGCAAATAAGCAAATTGGCAAATCAGCAAATTGGCAAATCAGCAATTAGCAAATAAGCAATTAAGTAGTTGGCAAATAAGCAAAGTGGCATGTCCCTACCGGCATTCCATAGGTTTACAGATCACATGCTCTTCCATGTACCGAAAACAGGTCACGTGCCCCTCCATGCCTCAAAAGTTAAACGCGTACCAATATCCTGCGGTCTCCAGACCGCAGGGAATTTAATGTGAAAACGTAGTGTGAAGTAAAATCCAAACATGTTTGTACACTTTACACGATGTTTAATAATTTACACTAATACGTAAGACTGGACAGCAGTCTTAAAACTGTCCAGGTTGTCCATAGTTGTGATGTTAGCTGGTAGGTTGTTCCAATAAGGTATACGTACAGTTCTTGGAAAGAATGAATGTTTGTATACGCATTAAATAGATAAATACAGTATCCCTAAAGAAAGCCCAACACGGCAAAATTGAAAATGTTGCAGGCTCGGTTTGATTGAGCCTGTTCATGGACGGTAATGGAAAGTGCAAGTTACCGTCCACGCCCCCTAGCACCGGCTTAAGCAGAATTCAACATTTAAACGTGAAATAGTAAAATTTTGAATTTAGAAACATCCGTAGATGTGTTCATACGGCGGTTATCATGGAACCTTCAATGTGACACTTCCGTGCCATTCCATGAAAAGCGGCGTATGGTCCCCAAGTAATAAAAAGCGTGTGCCCTAAACGAGAAAACAATGGGCGGAACTAAATAAAATGGAATTTTGAAAGGGGATCAGAGGTTATGAAGCCTGCGTATCACAGATAAGACGTCAAAAGACAAATTTAAAAAGCAGGCAACATATCCTGAGGGTGA